TAAGGTAAATTACATCTGTTTGAAAGTGAAACCAGTTTTTTTTTTCATGCAGGCTCTGTCAATCATAGCCAGGGGAGGTGTGGCTAGGGCTGCATAAACAGAAACAAAGTGATTTAACTCCTAAATGACAGTGAATTGAGCAGTGAAATTGCAGGGGAATGATCTATACTCTAAAACTGCTTTATTTAGCTAAAGTAATTTAGGTGACTATAGTGTTCCTTTAACCGAAGCAGGGGCTTTATGGTGCATTATATTTATATGTTGTATGATGCCCAAACAAAATTTGATATTTTAAATATGTTCCCTATTTTCATGTTTACCCCCTGCTATCAGTATAGACAGTCAATGCCCTCAGTATATCTCGTCACCCTCTGGGGAAAAATACCCCATCTACAAGCCCTCCTTTAATTTACTTACCTTCTTGCCATATCTTTTCTTTATTCTCACCACTGGGTCACACTCGTCCTCATTCCATGACAGAGTCATACAGACCACGAGGGAGGACATTGGCTCAAGCACAAGATATCTTTGGAACCTATCAAAGCGCCTGAATCTAGCCCAATGTAATTTTACCAAGTCACACCAACAGATGTTAGTCTTTAGATGGCATTTTAAAAGTCCCCTGAAAATATTCACTTTCTGAAAGAATACTTTCTCCTTTGTGTTTTCTTATTCTCTCTCTTAGTCTCTTTCCCAGCCAGTTTCTCCTCTGCCACCATGTGTGGATCCCCAGTGATCTCCAGCCGTATAGTTAGGGCTGCCGTTACCCGGCTCATTTAGCCCCTCCTCCATCGCACATAAAGCTCCGCCCCACCACATGCTAAACCCCGCCCCGCCGCAAAATTTTTTTTTTTTTTTTAGGTTTTTGTTTTGTAATGCCTGTCATGTGTGAGCTGTGCCGGCCGCCTGGTTCCCTCTGCTCCCATGGGGCCCTGTGCGGCCGCACAGCTCACACATGGGCGGCCGGGATTACAGGAGCCTGACCAGTGATGATTAGGGCTGTCAGCCCACCCCCAAGTGCCGCAGCCCACCGGGAAATTTCCTGGTATCCCGGTGGGCCAGTCCGGCACTGATTGTATTATATCTTGATAGCTACATTGATACTCAGGTGGTTTTACCCATAACTGACAAATTGTAACAAACTACAATTTAATTTGAAAATTTAGGCTAAAAACGGTGGTGTGTGTGTATAGTTGAGTTGGATATTTATTCCAATTCAGCTATTTTAGCCCAAGTTTTGACACATTATTTTAACCTTCATACATTTGGCATTTAGTAAATAGTCTCTGTAATTGAATGTGGCTTGGCTTTAGGCAAGATTTTCTCTCCGCCCCCCTATCACTGTAGAGAGAGATGAAGGAAAGTATAGCACAAAGTACATGCTTAAACAAGTTTGCTCTATACTTGCTATGAAATTCAGATAACTTAAACCCTTACACAATAGCAAAAGTGATCTTAAGAACCGCACTCAATCCCACTTAGCAGCCACCGGTGCTCCGGAACAGGACCAGCAATCCCAACACATTAAGGCAGCAAGAAAGATTCCCAGGCACTCAAAGTGTGAAAGCCGCAGACAAATTAAATTTAGTGAGCCCTATTCGCCAGATTGCCTGTGGACGCAGTGGCTATGTTTAGTTTAACTTATAAATCTCTTATCCTGTGCGCACGTTCAGAGGTGCCGTTTGTGTGTTTAATCACATTGTAGAGGAGGAGCAGGGGTTAATCCGCTGGGAACAAAGATTCAGCATACAAAGTCACAGGAACACAGCATAATCCACCTCCCCAAGGACTAGACGACACATAGTCTGGGAGTCAACTGATAGCTTTAATCACCGGTCTGCTTTTATGCATTTCTCCCATGCAAGGGAGGTAACTTTCATAATTTGTACAGTAACCAATTGTAACCCGGTCACCTCCCCTCACTCTCCTCCCCTTAGATTAACAGTTAAACAGATTAGTGGGGACAGAGTTTTCCCCACTTTCTGGATGTCCCCTAAATACATGGGGTACAGGGACAAATAAGGGGGTTCCCCTGGTAAGTCTGATCTGGGTGAGCAACATACTTGAAATTCACCCAGATCGGACCAGGGGTTCGGGAGTTACAGACTGTTAAAGATTTGACCGACCGCAGGGACTCAGTAGCCGAAAACAGTTCCATGAATTCTGGCCCTACGGTCGGTCTATTTCAGTGAACCACAAATACCGAACGGTTAGCCATCCATGCGATTGCTACCATTCGTATGATTCCCCTCGTTTAGGGGAATCTATCTACCGAACGCCGGGGCGTTCGTGTGTTAGATTCGTATTGTCAGAGCATGCTGGAGGTCTTAGCGGTGCTTGGTTAGTCGAATGCCCGGTTTGAGTTCCAGGCGTTCGACAACCAAGTACCGCTGTTCGTGCATAAGATGGCCGCCGCCATGTGTTCGGTAGGCGAAATGGCGGCCACACATACAGGTACTTAATTCCCTTCGCAACAATGTATCACTCTGTTAATGGGAAACACATGACCATCCCGGGGTGGTCTCCCGTTCGGTAGTTTCAGACATTCGAATAAAAACATTACAATACCATGAAAGTCAATTTGTGTGGTTATTCCCTTGGTGAAATATACCTATTCACACAGAATAATTAGTCCAAGTGGCAGGATTTGCCACACACATAAACGGTTATTGTATCGGCACTTAGACCCTTTTTCGTTCCAGTAGCCCTTCCTGAGTTCCAAATACCAGGAAATTACTCTTAAACGCCCGGACAGGCGTTTCACCCTGTTTTCAGTACATTTTTTTTTTAATTTATCTTTAACTCTTTATTATGTTTTGTCTTTCCCTTCTTTGGCACATAGGGGTAAGTTATTGATGAGATACCACCAACATCTTACAAATATTGTATGATTATGTATATTCTATTTATATATTTATATCTTATATGATCTGTGTATTTTGTACTAATTATTGATCCTTGTTAATAACCTTCACTTAAGTGAATTATTGTTTGACCTTTTTCTTGGCATTGTTTGCTATATATACACTCATGTTTGCTTTGTGGTTTTAGCTTGAAAAAGACCTCTCAGTAGGTCGAAATGTTGCTGTCTTTTTTGTTCCAATAAATCTGCTTTGAGTGCCTGAGAATCTTTCTTGCTGCCTTAAACCCTTACACAAGCAGAAGGCCAGATTTGGAAGTCAGGTTCCTGTTGGCACAAAAATCTAAAGGGCCTCCTTGCTTGCTCTCTCCTGCCCACCACAAAGAAAAGTCAGAAAAAGTGAGTTTAATGAATTTATTAAATAAACTGTACAGGCATAAAAATGTCTAAAAAAAAAAATTGTATTCAAATTTAAAGGGAAACTATAGTCACCAAAACAACTTTAGCTTAATGAAGCAGTTTTCTGTATAGATCAGGCCCCTGCAGTATCGCTGCCATTTGGGAGTTTAGTCACTTTGTTTGTATAGCCATAGCCACACCTCCCTGCACATGACTTGCACAGCCTTGCTTAAAGGGATCCTACAGTGCCAGGAAAACAAAGCTGTTGTCCTGGCACTATATGGTTAACAGGTGGTCCTCCCTCACACCCCCCTTCCTGCAAGGCTGAAGGGGTTAAAACCCCTTCAGCCACTACCTGGATCCAGCACTGATGTCCCTCGACGCTGTGTCAGGCTCCACCCACGCCGGCTGACGTCGCCGGGGGAGACCTAATGCGCATATGCGGCAATTGCCATGCCTGAATTAGACCTCCCCATAGGAAAGCATTGAATAAAATCTGACGCTGGAGGTCAGTGAGGACGCCCAGCGTCAGATAACGGACCAAAAGTCCGTTTGGATTCCGGAAGCGCCCCCAGTGGTAGACAGCCACTGAGGGCAGACTTAGAGCAGAAATGTAAACATTGCACTCTCTCTGGAACTGCAATGTTTAACATGCTAGACCCTGCAAAAGCCTACTGTATGTAATTAAATTAAATTACATCTGATTGAAAATGAAACCAATAAGTCAACCAATAGATTTTAAACAGCTTTAAGAAACACACAGGACAATCATTAGAATTTTTTTCTGGAAGTCTAGACAGAGGGACAAATTCAAAGATTTCCCTCTAAGGTCACCGGGAAAAAGACTGAGAAGTATGGAGGAAGGGGAAATAGAGTAGGAATCAAGGTACAAGAGAAGAGAAAAAAGAGACAAGATGTAAAAACCACACCAATCTTTAATTTAAGTGACAAAATTTTAATGAAAATCCACCAAAAAGTCCTAAATAAAGGACTAAAGCATGCACCCATGAAAGAAGTCAATAAATTCCAAATGTATATTGATCTTAACACGTTTAAGAAACACTTATGTTTAAAAACATGTTTTATGAAAAATGATAGACCTCAAATTCCTGCAATCCCACAGCAGACTGAATTTATACATACAAATTTGAGAGAATTTTTTTTTCCCCACTCATATGATTTCAGACGAATTAAAGGCCTTTGAGAAAGTGGTCAGATCAGCCCTAAAAGAATTGCAGGAAGACATCACTATTACCATCAAGCCAGCTGATAAGGGGGGTGGCATTGTTGTTATGGGTACCGATAAATACTTAGGAGAGGGCTCTAGACTGCTAGGAGATACTAACACCTATAAAGTCTTAGAATATGATCCCACCAAAGAAATTGTTAAAAAAATAAATCTTTTTTAAACAGGGAAAGTACCTAGAATGAAGTTTGCACCCAGATTCATGGGCCACTTTCTTTCACAGAATTAACCCTGTGTCATATTCTCTGGCCCTCCTGGCCTCATTACGTATTCCCAATACCTTTCATGTGTCGCTACTCAAACCTCTTGTTTGCAATAAGTATACTGTCCCAAGTGTTCCCCGTCCTCCCTTGGTTGTTTCTGGACGGGAGGAGTATGAGGTCTACTCCATAACTGATTCCAGGTTTTCTTGGGGTGCTTTGCAGTACTTGGTTGATTGGAAGGGTTATGGGCCTGCTGACCGTTCTTGGGTTCCGGCCTCTGACATATTCCTCCTCTGCGTCTGAGAAATAATTACTTATCTCCAGGTACAGAAAAACACACCAGATCGGCCGTGGGGGTGGAGCTAAATGCAGCCTCATACTGCTGCAGACAGAGGGGAAGCAGGAAGGAGTCATTGCTTCCCCAACTACAGCACAGGAGGGACTGAAACCACTCCTACTCCAGCCCAAGCTTACTGTAAGTGAGAGAGTGTGTGCTGTGTGTGTGTAACTGTGATTGTGACTGTCTTTGACTGTGTGTGTGATTGTCTGCTTGTGTGTGTGTGTGTGTGTGTGTGTGACTGCCTGTGATTGTCTGTGTGATTGCCTGTGATTGTCTGTGTGATTGTCTGCCTGACTCTCTGACTGTCTGTGATTGTGTGTGTGTGACTGTCTGTGATTGTGTTATGTGTATGTATGACTGTCTGCCTGTGATTGTGTGTGTCACTGTCTGTGTGTGTGTGTCACTGTGTGTGTGTGTGTGTGACTGTCTGCCTGTGATTGTCTGTGTTACTCTGTGTGTGTGTGTGTGTGTCACTGTGTGTGACTGTCTGCCTGTGATTGTGGGTGTGTGTGTGTGTGTGACTGTCTGCCTGTGATTGTGTGTGTGACTGTCTGTGACTGTGTTGTGTGTATGTGTGACTGTTTGTGATTGTGTGTGTGACTGTCTGCCTGTGTGATTGCCTGCGTGTTTGACTGTCTGCCTGTAACTGTGTGTGAGTGACTGTGTCTGACGGTCTTCACCCTGCAGTGAGCCGGCAGCCAGGATATGATGTCATCGCGGCCTCGGTGTCATTACAGGGCGTGCGTGCGAGAGATCCCAGCAGCAACCACTGACCACCAGGGACTGAGGATCCACTCCAGCCCTTCTAGAGCAAGGTAGGGAGGCTGGGTGGACCTCTTAATTATTAAATGTGTGTATGTATGTAATGTTTGTGTGTGTATGTGATTGTGTGTGGGTCAGTGATTGTGCTTGTGTATATCTGTGATTATGTGTGTGATTGTGTGTATTTCTGCGTATGTGTTTAGTAGATAGCTCCCTTATTTCCTGTCCTCAAATATTGCAATCCCAAATAAAGACAACAAATAAGGGATTTATCTACTAAACAACTGAAAATAAGAAAAGGGCCTTTTTTATCCTTTAGCTGTTTAGTAGATCATTCCCTGAATTGGTGCCCGTATGTGAGATTTCCATATTTAAAGATACCAAATGAGGGTGCTGTTTAGCAGATAGCACCTTATTTGGTGTCCTTAAATATGGCAATCCCACAAAGGATAGCAAATAGAGGAGTTATCTGCTAAACAAAGATTGAAATTAAGAGGTGTCAGCCAGCCCATAACAAGAAATCTGGGTGGCTAATGTGAATTATATGCAAATGTGTAATCAGATGCCAGCATGCAGAACACAGCATGCTGGCATCAGACAGCCAATGGCAGCATATTACCCCACCCCCTAGTGAGAAGTTTTACTGCTCCACCTCCCCCTCCTGTTTTGACTGTGGTATCTTATGTGCCCCCCATATATAGGGGGGCACATGTGTGTCAATGTGTATCTGTGTGTGTATGTCCATGTATGTGTATATGTGCAGACATATAAAAATCTCGCCAACACTACACACAAATACACTCTTGCATTTCAACGTCAACACTACATACAAACCCCACCATTATATATAACCATACCACTGCATTCATATACCACACAACACACAAATGCATGCTTGCATTCAAACGCCAACACTACATACAAACACACAGCTACATTCACTGACATATACTCCATACAAAAACATGCATACATTCAAAAACACAAACACTGCTTAGTGCTAAATACATAAAAACATTTTTAGTTGTTTTTATATTTAAAGTTGACAAAAATAGGACCCGCCCCGGGTGCCAAATGCTCTAGGTACGCCCCTGGTTCAGTGGTTTGGTTTTTCCATGGAAGTCACTTTTTAACATGTCTTTTTGGAGGGCCCATAATCCAGGGGTAAGAGGCTGGCAAGCAGGCACCTCCAAGTACCAGTGGCGAGATTACTTTCGCCACACATTGTTCCTAGCAAACTCAGCCCAGGGTAGTAATTTGGACCAATTATCTTGAGTGCTATTTACAAAACAACACAGATATAACTCTAATGACTGGAACACCCTCAGCACATTCTTTCTTTCACCTAATGGAACAAACAATTTATCCAGTGCTTTATTGCATTGTGCCTGAGACTAAGCCTCCATTATAGCACCAAGCAAGGGAGAAGACAGTGAAAGAACAGTAGAAGCGATGATACATTCAGGAGGGACGAGAGGGGATGTTTCGTGTTCCTGTAAAGACTCAGTATCAAACTGTCTAGACAAGGCATTAGCTTTCATGTTTTTGGGACCAGCTCTGTTAGTTATAAGGAAAATAAAGCGAGACAGAAACAAAGACCATCTAACCTGTCTAGAAGATAGACGTTTAGCATCCCCTATATAAGCCAAATTCTTATGGTCCGTAATGATCAAAAGGGGATCCTTGGAACCTTCCAAAAGATGTCGCCACTCTTTAAGCGCTAGGACAATGGCCAACAATTCTCTGTTGCGAATATCATAATTGCACTCACCGTAGGACAACTTTATGGAAAAGCAACCACAAGGATGCAAAGGGGTGTCCTGACTCTCCCTTTGAGAAAGAACCGTCCCTACCCACGTTTCGGAGGCATTGACTTCCAATATGAAGGGTTTGCTGGTGTCAGGGTGTCTAAGTCTGTTGGCAGAAGCAAACCTTTGTTTAAGAAGTCCAAAGGCCTCTCTAGCTTTCTTAGACCATATCGCACTACTTACGTGCCATATTGGTGATGGGGGCTATTACAGAAGAGAACCCCTTGATAAATCTTCTATAATACTTTGCAAACCCAATACATATTTGGATGGCTTTTAGTCTGCTAGGTACTGGCCACTGTATAACAGCCTCTAGCTTATTAGGGTCCATCTGAAAACCAGAGGCAGAAATGTAATACCCCAAAAACTGTACTTCAGTCTGATCAAACAAGCATTTTTCAAATTTACAATAAAGTTTGTTTTCCATTAAAGTCTGCAATACTTGTTTGACCTGTTTGTGATGGGTTTGAAGGTCAGGGGAATAAATAAGGATATCATCCAAATAAACGAGGACAAATGAATAGATATAATTCCTGACTACATCACTAAAAAATCCTGGAATACGGCCAGTGCATTGCATAGCCCAAAAGGCATAACAAGGTACTCACAGTGCCCACATCTAGTGTTAAATGACTTTTTCCACTCATGATTTTATTTGATTCTTACCAAATTGTATGCACTCCTTAGATCCAGTTTGGTAAAGATCTTAGCACCCTGGAGATTATCAAACAATTCGGAAATGAGAGGAATAGGATAGGCATTCTTAACAGTAATCTTATTTAATGCTCTGTAGTCAATGCAGGACGTAATTCTCCATCTTTCTTTTCTACAAAAAAGAAGCCTGCACCAGCAAGTGAGGATGATTTCCATATATGACCCTTGTTTAGTCAGTCTTTGATATATTCTTCCATTATTTTACTCTCCTGTGGCGATAAGGCATATACTGCCCATTTAGGTGGCATAGCGCCGGGTAACAGATTTATGGAGCAGTCATATGACCTGTGAGGAGGTAAGATATTGAACTGACTCTTACTAAATACTTCCTTAAAGGACCACTCTAGGCACCCAGACCACTTCAGCTTAATGAAGTGGTCTGGGTGCCAGGTCCCTCTAGGATTAACACATTTTTTTATAAACATAGCAGTTTCAGAGAAACTGCTATGTTTATAAATGGGTTAATCCATCCTCCAAATCCTCTAGTGGCTGTCTTATTGACAGCCGCTAGAGGCGCTTGCGTGATTCTCACTGTGAAAATCACAGTGAGAATACGCAAGCGTCCATAGGAAATCATTATGAATGCTTTCCTATGAGACCGGCTGAATGCGCGCACAGCTCTTGCCGCGCGTGCGCATTCAGCCGAATGGGAGGATCGGAGGCGGAGAGGAGGAGGAGAGCTCCCCGCCGGGCGGGAGAGGGACCCTGAGAGTGGGGGCACCCTCAGGGCACTATAGTGCCAGGAACTTAGGGTGTTTGAGGCGTAGTGGTGGGTAATTTAATGGTGCCCACTCTCTTGGTGAGGTGTAACATACACTTCACATTACAATCCTTGCCCCATTCCAATATTTCCCCATTAGCCCAGTCGATATGAGGGTTGTGCTTACTAAGCCAAGGAAAACCTAATATGATAGGGCAAGAAGGAGATGCAATAACTTGGAATATTATATCTTCCTTAAGTAAGGCACCAATAGACATGTTAATGGGCAAGGTTTCATGGGTGATTAAGGGTTGAGAGAGAGGTCTCCCATCAATAGCTTCAACAGTCAGAGGTGATATTCTCTCCTTGATGGGTATAGCATTATTTTTAACAAAATGAACATCAATGAAATTTCCTGCTGCACCTGAGTCCATCAGGGCCTTTCATGAAAAGTTCATTTTGTCAACTATGATCGTAATATCAAGGAGAAATCTATTATTGTTATTCCCAGAGAACTAACCATAATTACACCTAAGACCTGTCCCTTTAAGGTTCTTCGGTGCGGTAGTTTTCCGGTGGTATGGGACAAGTACTCCTCATATGTCCTTTTATAGCACAATATAGGCATAGACCCTCTCTTCTTCTATGTTGTCTTTCTGCCTCTAGTGACCCCCAACTGCATAGGTTCAGGTTGGGACTGTACAGAGAGGTCAGGAACAACCGGACTGGAGAAAGGAGGTGCTAATGGAAAAGCCGTACGTCTGGTTTTATTTCTGGCTCTGAGTCTATTATCAATTAGCATTATAAACTAAATAAACTCATTGAGTTTTTTGGGTAGTTCTTTGGCGGCAATCTCATCTAACATAGTCTCAGATAATCCCTTTTTAAATGCAGAGATTAATCTGCAGTTAGTCCAGTTTACCTCGGAAGCCAAGGTTCGAAATTCTATTGCATACGCCGAGATAAACCGATTCCCTTGTTTAATATGCATTAGGGTAGTGGACGTGTCATCCTCCCTGCCTAATGGTTCAAACGTAAGTTTAAATTCCACAAGGAATTCCTGATAATTGTGTGCAATGCTCCTACTACTCTCTCACAATGGATTGACCCAAGCTAAAGGTTTACCTTTAAGTTGGTTCATCAGGTAACCAATTTTAGCTCTGTCAGTGGGAAAAGATCCCGGTGAGGCCTCAAAATGATACTCAATTTGGTTAATAAATCCCCAGCATTCTTGAATATTACCATCAAAATGCAAAGGAGGAGATAGGGAGATAGTAGGTACCTTATGTACTACAGGAGGTACATTAGGTGGATGTGACACAGTCAGAGAAGCAGCAGGTTGCAGATGCGCTGTTCGAGTAAGGAGCGTACTGAAAGCCTGGGCAAAC